TTTTTTTTTTTTTTTTTTTTTTTTTTTTTTTAAATTAAAAGGCATTAATTTTATAGAAATAAATTTAGTCGTAAATATAAGCTATAAAGTCATAATTATTTTATTTTTTTTGTAAGTGAAAAAATATTCAATTGACTTAATAATTATTTTTATAAGATAAAATACCCATTTATTGACACTGGTTTAATTATTTGATACTTGCAATTTTATTCTAATTAAAAAAATTAATTTTTTTTTAATTTAATCAATTCAAAAATTAGATTTATTAAAGTTGATTTTTTTTTAATTAAAAATAATTACAAGTGTCAATAATTAGGTCAGTGTCAATAATAACTAGGTCTTTTACTTTAGTTTTGTTAATTAAAAAAATTATTTGGTGATTTAAAATTTGACTTATTTCATTATGTTTATATAAATAGTAAAAAAAATCAAATTAAAAATTTTTTTAAAGTCATTGCAATATTTTTCTATGTACTAATTTTAATATGCCATTAGATTTAGTTGATAATTTTTTTTATTTGTCAATCATAATCATTAAAAATTAATTAGCAATATAAATGTTAAAAATTTGTGCTATGAAATAGTTTAAAATATTTTAAAGTCTGATATCAATATACAAAGTAATCATTTTATATTAATCTGTGTCAAGTTATTAATTAATATTAGTTAACCGATTGATAAATTGTTAATGGTAATATTTAAATGTCTGGTGCTTAAACAGCCAGTTTGAGTTTGTTTTTATCGTTAATGTTATTAATAATAATAATAATATGACAGTAATTATTATCTAGAATGATTCAATTGTAAACCATTAATAATTATTTTTATTTCTTCACTGCGTACATCACTTACACTTTATTGTACTAATGTAAGAAAAAATAATAATAATAATAATGAGAGAGGATAGTAAGCTGTGATATGTTATGTATAAACGGAGCGGAAAAAATAAAATCAAATGTGCTTGTGTTTTGTAATAAGAAAAAAAAAATGATTAATAATTATTGGGTTGTTTTGTTGTTTTGCTTTCAGGATTAATGTATATTCGAATTTTTGTCGATAATAAAATATATAGAAAATAAATGTTGATTTAATATTTTATTTGAGTAATAACCAAATGACATGATTCTTTTTTTTTATTTTTATATCATTTATAGAGAATGATACCTCTCGGTCATTCACCTAATAGTTAATTTACTCTTAAAACATTACTTAATTAATACCAATATGTATAATAATAATAATATTAATATTAATAATAATATGACCTTAATTTAAAAACTCAATAGTTCAATACTTAGTACAATTGCTAAAGATATACAAATACAGTTGAAATTTTATTTTATTTTTTATACTCCAGTTTTAATTAACTGATAATTCCAAATTATTTATTTTTTTTTAGTATAATTCTACATTAGGTGCATCTTCACAATATTTATCTACGTCTTGTGGAAAAGAGACCGGTATTGATACGTTATTTATTGTTGATTTTATTATTTTATTTTTTCTGTGAAAAATTTATTTTCTTGTTCTTTATTTATTTTCCTTAATGTTAATTTTTTATACGTAGTTTTCTGGCGTATGGATTAGAGATAAATGCGCTTAGGAGATGTGATTAACCTACGCTGCGAAAAAATAAAATTGTAATTAACATTGTTTATATATAAAAAATAAATCAAAAATAATTATAAAGAAACGATAAAATTACCTGCGATTCCTGCAATAGCTTCGGAAGCGAAATATTTAACGTCAACATCTGAATCTGTATTAAGTTTATCAAGTACTGGTTTGACTTGCGTCTGTACTGCACTTGGTTCTAGATAAGGCCCGATACGTTGTAATGTTTTTGCTACGTTAAATCTTACATTTGCTACATTGTCATTAGCCATTGCAACAACTGTTGGGAGCATTACTTTTGTTGTTATATCTGGACCACATACTTCAGCCAATACCTAAATAAAAAAATAAATAAATTTATTAATTAAAATAATAATAATAATAATAATAATATCCTTACATTGATACAGAATAAGCACGTCATACGGTGTAAATAATTTTGGTCACGTGACATGTTTAAAACTTTTGGAATAATAGTATTAGAAGCCCACTCGGGACCAAATTTCTCAACCAGCTTCTTTAAATTAAGCGTAGCAGCTTCTCTGATTGCGTAGACGTGATCAACAAGCCAGTTCATTGACAGAGAGTTTAGTTTTTCATCAAAGAATTCGACGCCCAATTGTCCAGCTAGCAGCGGCATGTACTCGATTATCGCGAGACGTACTCGCCATTTGCTGTCCTCAGCGAGTTCGACTATCGCTGGTAAAAGTGACTGAGACAGTTGTTGGATACCAATCACTTCATTTACACAGTCTAGGTTACTGATAATATTAAGACGTACTTCTGGGCATTCGTCTTTAAGTTGCATCAAGAAAAGTGGTAGCAAATGTTCAATAGTACTGAAAAAAAAAAAAAAAAAAAAAAAAAAAAAAAATTTAAAAAAATTTATAAAAATTAGTAATTTCAGTAATTTTTAAAATTAGTAATTTTGCTTACTTATGTTTGCCTAAAATAGGACTAAGTCCCATAATAACACCAGCTAACGCAGATTTAACATGTTGATTAAGGTCAGCTACGAGTTCTTTTATAAAAGGTAATATATTTGTCATAATAATATTTTCTTGGTTGAACTGATCAAGATTTTGACAAAATTCTCTGACTTTTTCAGCAGCTGCTGCTCTAACTTCAGCTTCTGTGTCTTTTAAAAGAACTTGGAATGCTGGAACTAGATCAGATTTTGTTATTTCTGGGCCTACTGCTTTCTGGAGCTGTAAAAAAAAATTTATTATGACATTAAATATAAACTTGGATAATAAAATTAAATAACAAAAAAAAATGAAGTAATAATTACATCAGTAAATTTATCAGCAACCATGTAACGAACTCGCCACGACTGATCACCGGCACATTGACGTAGTGTTGGCATTACCAACTGCTCGACGTCTTCCTGTTGAAGGAGAGAAGCAATGCTAACACATGCGTCAACAGCTAGCAAGCGTACTGAATCCTGAAAAATAATTATTAGTCATTACTCATTAGATTAAAATAAAAAAAAAAAAATTAAAATCGAAGATTAAGTGCAATAAAAATTACCTGCTCATCTTGTGCCAAGACAACAAACATTGGAATCAAATCGGCCTTCAGATACTCAATCTCGACGACTTTAGCGAACTCCCCAAGCTTGGAAGCCGCTGAACGACGTACCATCGGAGTGTCATCTTGACACAAGTTGCGGAAATGATTCCTCAGCTCTGCTTTCGTCGCTGGACTCACACGTGGGTAACACACACTTATCAACCCACAAGCTGAAGTTCTAGACGTAAACCAGTCTCCAGAAGCGAGACGCTGGACCAATGGTACGAAATGGTCTTCCAAGTACGTCGGGCTGTGCTGGCTTGCAATGTTTCGGAGTGATTCCACAGCTTTGTCACGCACTACTGTCTCTTCTACCGCTGCTAGTGCTTCTAATGGTGGCTGAAAAATTATTTTTATAATTTATTATTGATAACCAGCAACCTTGCAGTCACTATGTGACTTATGAACTATAAATAAATAAAATTCTTCTTTATCAACTAATGACTTTTGTTAAAATGAACTGTACTTTCTTAACTATTGATGTTTTTAAAAATATAAGCTCATCCCGATGTTACACTCATCAAGACCTTTCATTTGAGTACCCACATGCATTTTCATATATTTTTCATATATACATATATATAATATATATAAATATATAAAATATATGAAAAATTGATGTGGGTACTCAAATGAAAGGTCTCGATGAGTGTAACAACGGGATGAACTTATATCCTTAAAAATGTCAATAGTTCACGAGATACAATGTCATTTCTTAATTATTGACATTTTTAAAGATATAACCTCATTCTGATGTTACATTCATCAAGAGCTTTCATTTGAGTACCCACATGGCATTTTTTATATATTTTATATATATGGTATTTGTAAAGTATATAAATATATAAAATATATAAAAAATTGATGTGGGTACTTAAATGAAAGGTCTCGATGTGTGTAATGTCGGGATGAGCTTACATCTTTAAAAATGTCGGTAGTTCACAAGATACAAGGTCGTTTCTCAATTACGTTAAATTGCACTGTAATTTTCTTCTTATTCTTTATCTACTAATTTTTTTTTTAATATAAAAAATTCTGAAAATCTTCAGATGTTTGCTAATAATGAAAATTAACTCAGATGTTTAATAATTTTTGAACTTATTAAAATAAAAAAATTTTGGAAAATAGAAAAAAAAATTGACATGTAGAAATTAAAAAAAATTAGAATTGTAATTGTTAAAAAATAATTTTTCAGAAAAAATTTGTCTTTTAAATAAAATTAAAAAACCATCAAATGACTTTTATCTTTAATATCATTTGCTAATTTTACTTTTTATTAATTATTATTATAATTAATGATAAATAATTACCAAAAGACAATGAACATAATCAGGACCACCAACAAGTGGTGTGAATGATCCAAGTTGCTCAGCAAGTGCTAGTAATACTTCATCTTCATCGTAAATAGTTTCAGTAAGAAATGGCATTAACTCACTACGAGTTCTTTCAGCTCCAAGTGCCAATGCTATTGTTGAAAGTTTTTTTATTGAATTTAAACGCAACTAAAAATAAAAAAAACAAATTATTATAAATAAAACATTTAATAATAAATAATAAAAATTAATATTGACAGTGTAATTATTTTATTTTTCACACCGACTACCGTAACCTATCGTGTGATTGTTTTTAAAAATTAAAAAAATAAATGTCAATTCAAATTAAGCAAGTTAATTAATTACATAAAAATTAATTATAGTAGCAGTAATTATAATACCTGTACATCCTCATTCTTCAGTTCGTCAATTAAAACGGCTATTGGATAAAGACTGTCGTCGGTTGATGAGTCGGCCGCTGCCATTTTGCTGCTGATAGTCACTATTTAAATTAAATAAATTATATTATCCTTTTTATTCCGACGTATTATCTTTATTTTTTTATACCTAGAGGCACTTTGTGCCCGACACTTTTTTAAGCTTTATAATCTTTTCTAAAAAAAATACCTTTTTATAAATTGTATTGTTTGTTGTATCCTTATAAAACGCTGCGTATTTATTCACATCTACTTTGGTGATTAAAATATCGCATCGGTGAAGTGTTTGATGGAAAAGTTCTGCAGTGGAGGAGGAAGTGCCAGGAGTGTGAGATTTATTTGATTGGCGTCAACAGCTCAGTTTAATAATTGTTTTTTATTGTTAACGCTGAGTGTCACTGCTGGTTGTTTCCTGGAAAGTTTTAATTTTTTCTCTACTTGCGATAAAACAGAGCATGCGCTAAAAAAATAAAAAAATATAAAGTGACAGCTGATGTATTTTTTTTAATTTAATTTTTCAAAGTTTTTATTTACTTTTACATGCAAATTTTTAATTTTTATTAAAAATTAACGTAATAATAAATAATAATAATAATAATACTGAAGTCAGCTGACAGCTGTCAATTTTAAAAATTTTTATACCAAAAAATACCGGAAGGAAGTTAGCGTAGAATAATTTTTTTTTTAATTAAATCATATGTCAATTAATTGCTCTTTAAATGCTCTATTAGAATCCGTAATTGCTCCAGGTCTATTACTATTAGTTAATTTTTAATTAATTTTTCAAAAATTTTTTTTTGAAAATTTAATTTTGCTATAAAACCTAAAATATTCACTTTTTCAAAAATTTTTTTTTCTCAAACAATTGCTCTCAATTTGCTCTCCTAATTAAAAAAAAAATATTATAATTTTGCATTATTTATAATAATTGA